GCTGAAAGTTGGCATGTACATAGGTAGGCACCCACTAGGCAATGCATACCTATGTGCCAGAGTTGGGGTGCTGCTGCACGTGCGCACGTGCAGGGGTCGATTCCAGATCTCGAGAACGGCTGGACCGATTGCGCTCAAACTTGGTACACGGTTACGGAGCAGTTAGTAGGGTGCCGTGCATACCTAAGTCAGTTGGGACCCATTTTGAACGTGCGCACGTGCAGGGTGCCGCTTCCAGATCTTGAGAACTGCTGGGCTGATTGTGCTCAAACTTGGCACATCGCTAGAGACCGGTTAGTAGGGTGCCGTGCACAACTCAGTTGGAGGTACCCCCTCGCAATTTCGCACGTGCAAGGCCCCCCATCTCGCTCGCTCCGTTAGTCGCCCCAAAAGGCGTTACACTGGTGTCTAGATTTCGTGCAGTTAAAATCCAAACCTGCACGCATCACAAGAGGAAGGAATCGGCATTAGGAAGAATATAAACAATATGAGGTTCGAGAGCAGTGTAGCAAGATGTGCGACTTCATTCTTCAAGGCTTAGCTGGTCCGTCTTACCCCACCACCTTCCCCTACTTTAACCCTCGCCCGCACATGCCATTTTCCCATCCTAGAACGCACATGGGGGGGGGGTGGTTGCCACCCCCCCCGCGCCGTTTCGTTCCTGTTGGAGATAGAGCTTAGCGGTAAAGACCAAAAAGATTCTTTGGGAAGAGACAAATCCAATGATACCCAGTTTTACCTTCTCAGGTCAGTCATTGACCTTCCAGGTCAGGTCAAACTAAAAAATGTTGCTGTTTTAGGTCACCGTTGGATATCAAGCGCGCTGCTTGTCATATACCGATGACGATGCCGTTTTCTGGTGCCAAGCCAGCTAGAACCTCTTTGTCACACTACCCGACCAGGTTTTTGCTGCTGAGGTCATCTCAGGTCAAGTTAGGTCAAGGTCAATAATATGTGTTTGTATGTATGTGTGTGTCTGTGTGTATACTGATGTGTGCACCGATTGTTTATGTGTCCATATTACATGAAATCATGATCTGAGAAGCTTTTACCAAAAATGTAGTCAAAAAATGTCAAAAAAAGTAAATTCAGCTTGCCTAAAACGCAATTATCTTAGATGACCTAGGTTGACCTTGACCCTGACCTTGACCTCTGTACATCGTTGAACAACATGTTTCATGATAGGTGGGAGGTAGGATTGGCATAAAAGGCCGAAATCAAGGTGTTAAAAGCTCACAAGGCCCATAGCCAACGCAAGATGTTGAGAATTGGCCATTTGGGTCATGACATGACCTGAAAAACAAGGTCATATCTCCGAAACCAAAAACCACAGAAACTTGAAATTTTCAGTGGACATCAAGAAAGGATAGAGGAGCAGCTATACGAAAAATCAGCCTTCTAGCTCTAAAAATGTTGAGTGCAGAGCAGAAAGACTACCTGGGGGGGGTGGCAACCACCCCCCCCCCCCCATGTGCGGGCGAGGGTTAAGCCCTTGAAATTAAACGGTGACATTTCTGAACGAAAAGCGTAGAGTGGGGTAATTTGAACAAATTTTTACGTCTTCTCCGTCCCACCGAATTGCAGCTCAAGCATGGATGAAGAAAAATGTTTCAGTAGCGCTTTCACCATGCAGGCCTCATTTTTGGACGAGCCGAGCATACCTTGAATAGCATAGCATCACTTCTCCACCAAGTCACGGTGTGTACAAGCTGCCCCACCGTGGGATAATTTGAACATACTGCCTTTGCGTGCCATAAAAACGATAATCTCGCCAGCACCGATATTGTTTGAGCCATAAACAAATAGGCAGAACCTCAACATACCTTCATTTAAAAACTCAACACAACAGCAAACACATAACAGTTGCAGGGTATCAATATCTGCACGCTGCACACCGGTCAGTTGACAAAAGTTCCCTTTTTTCAATTAACAGAATGTCTATCATTTCCGTTCGATAAAAACTCTCCCAACCTTACTTCATCTGTTATAGTGATGCCAATCGGAACCTTGGCATTCGGAAATCTGATTTTTTCCAATGTCCAATTCGGAATGCGTTGGACAAAGGTAGCAGGCTGGACAACGCGGGACGATGGCCTGCGATAGTTCAGCATTTTTCTAAAGAAATCGTGTATAGCATTAATGATGGGTGTAACTTTGGAAACGATATTGGGGGTGCAAACTAGCGAGGGCGCCTCCGAGTGGCGGGCCTCCAGCTCGCAGGGGCCTCCTAAGGAGCATTTACAATGTACATATGCACATTACAATGCTCAACGACTTTGACAAGAAAGATTGACAATGCTCAACGAGTAGGGTAGATTTTCCAAACTTTTACCCTCGCCCTTTTATAGGGGGAGGGGAGGTGTCGGAATGACCTTAATCCATTTTTCGCGAATAACTTGCGCAAAAAGCGGCTGATCGCGACGAAACTTTTAGGATCCTCGAGTTACTAAATTTTACACACATCCTTTACAATTCAAGATCCTTTAAATGACCCTGACCTAAAGGACCTTTGACCTGTGACCTATTTCTCGAGACCATGTTTGGCCGGAATCGCAATTCGTCGTATTTCAGCTCACATTCGCGGGGATCCAGTCTGTTTGTGATTGTAAACGTTCAAACATCTACTCGTAAAATGATTTGGTCCCATTCATTAATGGTCATCTACCATTCAAGATCATTGACCTTTGATGAACTTGGCTGAATTTTTCGGGCTTTACACACTAACAGTGTAGTTTTTGGAGCTGACTTCGAATATTGCACCCATTTGAACATTTACGAACAGGCGTCGCCACGCTCCGCTTAGAGCGACCACTGGCGGCGACAGAGGCAGCAGCGGCGGCGACACAGGGACCTTTTTTGCTCCGCCAGCCTAAAGCCAGTCTGGAGCCGGGGGTCATTACATCTGGCAATTTTGGCCAGGAACAAAGTTTTACTTTAAGCCGGTTTATGTGAACCCGGAAGAAATAGCAACGTGGGAGCCTATCCTTAGCGTGTGTGAGCAAATCTAATGGGGTAACTTACTTTTGCCGAAGTGCCAAAAAAAAGCCGGAACAAAAAACACAGATGAAGAAACGGTAACATTTATTTACATCACAAATTCATACACTTGTGTAAGGTGTCAGTGTAGGGGAGAGTGGGGTAATTTGGCCGGTGGTGTAAATTGGCCGCCCCCACCTGTACGAAAGCTGATAAAAGTGAATGAAATAACTTTAGTCTCTATTCGTTTGTCATCGGCAGAACTAACTCGAGAACAAATGTCAAAACTTTCCCCCTCTTAGTTTTATTCAAAATTAATAAAACGTGAATTTCGTTAGAAAAATGGTAACTTTTACTTCCGTTTAAAAATTTGTATAACATGTAGTATTTGGGCTGTAAGCGAATTCCAACTTTATAGCGCCATTCTTGAGGGTGTTCAGCGGTTCCAAGAGCAATTTCATCTGTACAGTTCTGTACAGCCATGACGAATTTATAGACAAAAATTTTCAGAATGGTAATGTGGGGTTATTTGGCCGGGACTAGCGGGGCAACTTGGCCGGTGCGCTCAGAGTCACTATGCTGGGACGGCCGAGTTGTCACGGTCAATTATACCATAAAGGACATAACTCATGACCAACTTTGACTACCTTGATGCCATATTTCCTATTGGACAGCTGTAAGGGCATGTGACGTCATCAACGGTTACCTAACGTTTTTTTTTTGCTAATAAATACTTACAGAAAAAAAGATACAGCCGCGCAAAAGGTCTCATTGTGTTCAGCTCGTCAAGGCACAACGAATGATATACATGATGACCTTGAACTCACGTAACCTTGAGGTCAAGCGACCTGAGGTAACGTGACCTGAAGCCAACCTTTGACCTTGACCTGTCGAGGTCAACACATAACTACATGTTTCGATGCGGAATGACGAGAGAATTACGATGGTACTTTTAGTTTTGGCCTAGCTTAATTACTTCAAAAGTTATTCGTAAAAAACTGTCATCGCATCTAGAGCCGCTATTTTGACTATTTTCGACCCCTGTGACGACTGAATCAACCTCCAAAATGCTTCAAATGCGTCGTAGGACACGCGTCATTGCTGAATGTGAAGCTGACTCGCCGATAACAAAAATCATGGCCTCAAACTAACACCGGCCAAATTGCCCCACACCCCCGGCCAAATAACCTGCTAGTGGGGCAATTTGGCCGCTTTGCAGACCTTTGTAATACGTCACAATTTCAATATAAGTAGCTACCCTATCATTTCAAGTTTACTGTCCAGGGAAGTAAAATGTATGCCACACCTGTCAGCGTTGAGAAAATGCAGAAATGTATTGTCGATTTTTAGTTACATCGTTTTATAAAAATGCGGCCAAATTACCCCACTCTCCCCTACTGGTGTGGGGCGTATTTGTCAGGGAAAAAGTACTAAATAACAAAAAACCTGACGCCTATTGCAGAGGGTAAAACCCCGCTCTGAAGCCAAAGAGCGCGGGGAAAAAGACCCCTACAGTTGTTTAATCTAATGTGTAGGAGGCAGGGCATATTTTAATAAATTTTTACTGCGTCCCAAAGTTGAGCAGAGGGCACGTGCTACGACTAAGGGCACAGGGCAAGGAACAGAGTAGGGCACTGAGGAGGGCAGGAAGTAGGGCGCGGCAGGTTGCAGGGCATGGCACAGGACATTTTAGAGGGAAGGCCGGGTACAGGTCAGGGCAGACAGCAGGGCACAGGTCAGAGAACCGGACAGGGCAGGGACGCAGTGGGTCAAATTAGCAGGGGCTACGTCCCAAGGCGAGGGGGCTGCGTCCCAAAATGGGACGCAGTAAGTGCCTTAAAATATGCCCTGGTAGGAGGCAAAAGGGAAGGGATAATGACGGCCCCGTGCTGGGGAGGGGCGCCCGGCGACCAGTGCACTGCCAGGTGAGGCGCACTGCGCATGCGCCGCCGGACAGTCAGCGGCGGCTAGCTCTGGCGCGGTCGATATCGGCGTACCTGTTCACTATTGACGCTGGCGGCAGTGGCGCGGCCGGCAGCACGGCGTGTGCAGGGGAAGAGAGCTGAGGAGGTGAGAGAGGTGAGAGCGCAACAACGGACCAGCAGACAGACCAGTGGCGGCCATAGGCAGACCAGTGCAGTGGCGGCGGCAGACGAACCAGTGGCCTACTTGTAGACTGGACTGAGGCTCAGTCCAGGGCCCAGGCCGGGCTGGACTGAGACTAGGGAGTGTCGCCTGCCGAGCAGTGAGAGGAGTGTCCACTGCCGAGCTGTGTTGACCGAGGAGTGTCAGCTTCCGCTGCCGGAGAAGGTATGTGCGTCGTGGAGCTCTGTGCCCCGCTGTTGAATTGTTTGCCCCGTTGTGGAGCTCTGTGCCCCGCTGTGGAGCTGAGTACCCCGCTGTGGAGCTGTCTGCCCCGCTGTGGAGCTGTGTGCCCCGCTGTGGAGCAGTGCTCCATGGAACTTGCCCATAAACAGGGTGTTCATAAATGAATGAAATAAAGTAGACGGCTACCAAGGGCAATAATTTCCGGTCTGTGTCATTGAAAGACATAGGGCATTCTCAGATTTGTTTGTCAGTTGAGATGGTCGCATAGCGATCGCCGAGTATCTGCCCGTCTCGTGGAGGCGGTGCCGAAGTGGCAGCCTGCGGTCATCCAGTCGGCGGTCGGTGGGCGCCCAGAAGACAGGTAGGGACTGTACTTACGGAGGTCAGTGATGAGCGCTTCTGCTTAAAGCTGTTCGATCGTTGAACTTTTTTGACTGCAGACGCAAGACAAAAGCTCCGTTCTGCCGAAATCAGCAGTGTTGCTGTTGGCGGAATTCTTTATAGCCCGATGGCCTTGATAGCCCGTCTCACGGTGGCTACAAGCCATCGCTTCTTTAGATACGACTCGCCGTCAATCGAGCTTCAGACTCAGTGCACCGGGAATCTGTTTGTGTGGACTATAGCCACGCCATCACGTTCGCGTCGTTAGATCTCACCATGACCAGACACAATGTGGCATGGGGCTTATGGGCACCAGCAGATACTATTTTCCGTGTACTTTGATATATAATGACGAGATCTTGAAAGATTCCTGTCACTGTCCACTGTCAGCACTGTCAGCAGTCAGCTGGCCTGTCACTGTCACTGTCAGCTGGCCACTGTCACTGTCACTGTCAGCTGGCCACTGTCAGCAGCAAGAAAGCTCCAGGCCCACGCTGTCGTGTGAACTGCTGAGTCCGCGTGGCGTATCGAGCTTGTTAACTTGAGCGCCCTTCTAGGAGATAGTCGAGGTACAGAGTGATCGTGATAATATAATACTAACTGACAAGCAATTTGGAAAATTCCCCATGACTTTCATTTCCATGGAACGAAAGTTTATCCTCGCGTTCGATGTCTCTCGGACGACGAAGATTCTACGTCGTCCGGCCAATCCCGTCAAAGGTCAGCGGGGGCTCGGCTGCGGTTATGGAACGTGATTGGCCAGACGACGAAGAATCTTCGCAGTCCGAGAGACATCGAACTGCGGTCCGAGAGACATCGTATGTCTCTAGTAAGTGATAAGCGTTTACTTTATTTCACTCATTAATGAACACCCTGTTTAATCATGTAGATGCGGAGAGAAGCTAGATCATATGCTCTGCGATGATGGGCTGTCCAGGGATCTTTTCTCTGAAAACAAATGTGAATGGCGACGCGGGCCCGTTGTGGGAGCCACCTGTACCTGGCACCAATGCCGGCTCGGTTCTGAGCTCCATGCGGCAGAGGCCGACTGCTGACTGCTGGGGCCTGTCCTCACTTGCAGGTGCTGCTAGTGATGCTGTTTGTTCGCGAGGCCGCCATCCATGACTTCTAGAACCTCTCCATCGAATCAACAACATGTTCACCTACATCGGCAACAGCAATGGTAACAGCAATCACTCCACCTTCATAAAGCGCTTGCTGGCTGTGTTAGCTACCATCTAAGGTGTCTTCCCGGGCTGCACTTGTTTTTTTTCTGCTCATTCATTTAGTCACAGGGTCTACTGTTAGTCTTAACCCGCGCCCGGTAGGGGAGGGGGGCGAAACCAGGTGGGTGACGGCACGTGATCGCCTGAGGCGGTGGGGGGTAAAAATATTTTCGTCATTTAATGCTCAATGCATTCGCTGCGACTTTTTACAAGACCTTCTTCTCGTCGTTGTTCCTTGCTTTCAACCACTGGTCCCCGAGTGATGACTATCCTCACGCAATATAGGATGAATGGAGCTAGCAATTAAGCCCAAAAAACATATCGAAAATGTTACAAAACACTTCTTTTGAAGAAGATGAATTGAATGGTTTTGGAGCCTCACGAAACATGTTTCAGATATGACGCGTAAAGCAAACTGACGCATAAAGACTGTGCTCAAAAGTGTGAGCGGCAGCTCCGCAAGCACTTGTTGACAAATGAAAATCGTAGGTACTGCTCGGTCGCCATAGCAACAAGTAAGCGTCACAAATTTCGAACACTAGGTATCTGAGTGCGCCAAGTTCGACTACATCGAGGACGATGGGTGATGGTTGCCAGCTGATTAAATTAATGAAACGCGAATAAATTCAATTTTTCTTTGAGATTGCGAGTAAAATATGGTTGTTAATTTCAAATATCATTGAATTAGTTTTTGTATATAAAATAACTACAAACACCTCTGTGCAAGGAATAAATCAAGGCTTATGAAAATCGTGAGTAGGGTTGGGAAAAGCAGAAAAAGGATCACGTGACTGGCGTCCCAACCTTATCTGTAAGAATCTTGGCCGAAACGGCCCCCCCCCCCTGTCCTTTTCCGTCGATATCTCCTAAACGGCTGGAGATATCGCCACCAAACTTTCAGGACCCATCGGCCGTGCGCGGCTATGTGCGCACGTTAAACTTTGGACTCTAAAAATTCTGCCATAGAACTGGAATTGCGCGATCGGAGGGTAGAGTCAACGCAACAAGCTTCGCTTAGCGGTGGCCTTGTTCATGTGAATCCTTCCTACATTTTGGTACAGTAAGCTGAAAATGATAGAGTAACTTCTTATATTTAAACTGTGACGTATTACAAAGGTCTGCAAAGCTGCCAAATTATCCCGCTATATAGCAGTTTTTTTGCCCGGTGGTGTAGGGCAATTTGGCCGGTGTTAGTTTGAGGTCGGGATTTTACATATGCATGCACGCCTGTATGTTGCAGGCGAGTCAGCTTCAGCGTCAGCAATGACGTGTGTCCCATGCGTATGTACATTGGAGGTTGACTCGGTGTCGGACTTGTATTCGAACGACTTTCACTCAGGTCTTGTCAGTGATTTTAACATTGTTGTGAGCAGCTCACAATGCGATGTCTTGGCACACACTGCTCAATCATGCATTCGCATTAATTTGGCATAAAAATATGTTCGCAATGCAACCTATAATTGGAAAAAGCTTCATGTTTTAGTTGATGAATAGTCCAATAATTTTAGCTCTTTTTTGCAATAAATGCAATATTTCGACTCTGTTTCAAATCCTCACGTCTCGTGGCCTTCCCATGTCTGCAAACAAAGTCATCGGTATTTTTTTGTGAACTGCAGATGCGAATCTCAGTTTGTTTTGAGCAAATCCCTGGTTACTAACTAGTCTTGAATGGTGCAGTGTCCAGATCAGCCCCTTGAAGGTAAACTGTGCCGCGATGCAATCGCCGGCGCCTGTGAACCAAACCAGCACGGCACCACGTGCCTAGCAACTCGGCTGTCCCGCATAGTGACTCTGAGCACACCGGCCAAGTGCCCTGACAGCCGCCCCGGCAAAATTACCCCGCACTGCTATTCTGAAAAATGTTGTATGTAAAGTCGTGACGGTCATACGGAAACGGGTGAAATTGCTCTTTGAAACCGCTGATCACCCCAGGAATGGTGTCACCATATAAGAATTCGTTTACAGCCCAAATACTACATGTTATAGATTTTTCAAAGGAAAGTTAAAGGTGTCATTTTCCAATGAAAATCACGTTTCATTGATTTTGAATAAAATTACGAGGGGGAGAGTTTCGACATTTTTAACGGGCTATTTCTACCAATGACATCTATATTATAAATCCTAAAAAGTCCGCCGCCGTCGGGGTAACGCCCAAAAACGCTTATTGCGGCGCCGTCGATTGACGCAGGAGGGTGAAATTTTTACCACTCGTGGGTCACGTAATTGAACAGGTCGTATTAAATTTTGGGCACGATGCGGCCGGGGGTGCGCCCGTGGCGCGTGCTCACGTGGTGTGCCATAGGGTTTGCACTAGAATCGGCAACAGACTATTGCTCGCGAACGGTAAGGGCTACGGGGGTGAAATTTTCACGCCAAGTCGGTCGCGTGCACTCATTTGTCGTATTAAATTTTTGAGGGTGTGGGTTCAGCGGTGTGCACGTGATGGGGCCGCGACCGGCGCCGAGCAGAGGGCACGTGCTTTAGGCTCAGTTGTTCGCTTAAAAAACTGAGTGAAAAGCATTAGAGCCGGCAGGTCATTGACCTTTGACAACAAAGGCCGACACAAGGCACCGCTCGCCAAGGGGATTCGCCAGTAAATATTATTATTTTGTTTTTGCAATATCTCAGCCGTTTCTGGGCCGATTTAGCTGAAACTTGGACTGTCGGTGGTAGTGTAGGGTAGGGTAGGGTAGGGTAGGGTAGGGTAGGGTAGGGTAGGGTATGGGTATGGGTAGGGTAGGGTAGGTTAGGGTAGGGTATGGGTAGGGGTAGGGTAGGGTAGGGTAGGGGATTGTAGGGTAGGGTAGGGTAGTGTAGAGTAGGGTAGGGTAGGGTAGTGTAGGGGTAGAGTAGGGTAGGGTAGGGTAGGGTAGGTTAGGGGTAGGGTAGGGTAGTGTAGAGTTAAGGGTAGGGTAGGGTAGGGTAGGGTAGGGGTAGGGATAGGGTAGGATAGGGTAGGGTAGGATAGGGTAGGGCAGGGGTAGGGTAGTGTAGGGTAGGGTAGTGTAGGGGTAGGGTAGGGTAGGGTCGGGTAGGGTAGGGTAGGGGATTGTAGGGTAGGGTAGGGTAGGGGATTGTAGGGTAGGGTAGGGTAGGGTAGGGTAGAGTAGGGTAGGGTAGGGTAGGGTAGGGTAGTGTAGTGTAGGGGTAGGGTAGGGTAAGGTAGGGTAGGGGTAGGGGTAGGGGTTGGGGTAGGGTAGGGTATGGTATGGTAGGGTAGGGTAGGTTAGGGTAGTGTAGGGATAGGGGTAGGGTAGGGTAGGGTAGGGTAGGGTTGAATTAAGTAACATCCTAATCTTACAAAGGGCTCGAACAACTCGCATGCATCACCATCATACTTTACAGTTCAATTAAAAGCAGTTACCCAGTTCTTCACAAATAATACCAGCAAGTTTCTACACCCAAACTAATGCATCCGTTAATCATACATATCAAAACATACAGTTATCGCGTAAACCTGTACCTCTAGTATGAATAAAGACTAGTTGTTCACTTTTGTCAAATATCGTGCAGGTGGGGACGGCCACTTAACACCACCGCACAGTGGGGATTTTTCCGATCTAGCGCGTCTTAATTCCAAAAATCTTTTTTGGATTTTTGTTTATTTTTTGTGTCAGTGGGGCTAAGAAATGTCTGAATTTTTCATATATGGCATTGTTTTATCTGTATGTCCACAGCAAGACTAGGAAAAATGCGCCCAAAGTTTACACTCATGCTTGATTACTCAATGGGCTCAGTAAGGCCCGAAAATATAGCTCAATTTCATTGTCCTGTCCTGTTGGTTTTATTCTTGCGAAGTCTTAAAGTTGCATATCTTCTGAAAGGCACCTTTACTAGGAATGGAATGGCAAACAGAAAGTATGCCACAACTTTACTAAAGGTCACAAAAATGCCATTTACAAAAACCTTACAGACACCATATTGAAGGAATGGTATTATAAATAGATGTAGGAAATCAACAATGTTTTCCACACTTTTCCACTCCGAAACATATCCTATCGAATTCGCCACTTTCTCCTGCACAAGACAACGCCTAGTTTGGCTGCCGAAACTTGCCTGAACACGGAATATTCACATTAGAGTATCTGAATACCCCACTCGAGGAGCGCTAGGGCAAACAGCGCGATATAGGTATGTTCCGGACATAGGCGAATAATTTTACTTCGTGATTTATGTGATGCATATTTTCTGAGACACATTAATTAGGAATAGGATGACAAGCGTAAATTATACATACCGTAACCTTATTCACCCTCGCACTTGTGGGGAGGGGGAGGGGAAAGGGTCGGATAAAACCCCATGGTTTTCCGCAAATTATTCGCGCAAAAAGCGGCCGATCGCGTCAAAACTTTCGGTGCCCTCGAGATCATCAATTTTACATCTAACCTTAAAATTTCATGACTCTGACCCAACTGACCTTTGACCTGTGGCATATTTTTCCAGACCATGTTTGGCCGGAATCTCGATTCGGCGTATACCAGCTCACATTATCCGCGGTTTCCAGTCTTTTTGTGGTATCAAACGTTCAAATACGTGAAATGATGTTAATGCCATGCATCATGGTGGGTGTCAAGGTCACGTGAAGATAAAGTCGAGGTCATTGACCTTTGATGACCTTGGTTCACTTTTTCGAGTTTTACTTGCTTCTAGGGTAGTTTTTGGTGCTGATTTCGAATTTAGCAACCATTTGAATATTTACGAAGTAGTTGTGCTGCCTTCGTACCATGTTACGAAGCTGTCAGTAGTAGGTGACACCTACTATGAATGGCCGGCAGGACGCCTACTGGTTGATCTGACCTGACCTGACCCGACCTGGCCTAAATACATTAAGACATCGTCTGTGATCAAAACTAACATGAAATTCGTGATCAGCACCCCAAAATACCCCGTAACACCCTAACTTTACGAAGTTTGAAGAGGTCTTGATTTCCCAACTTTAGTTGGGTCATTAAACTGA